AGTCCACGGCCTCACACATTGAGGAAATGTACAAGTGCTTTAGAGAAATTTGTAGTGCGGTTTAGCTTTGCAGAGGACTTCCATCGTTTTTTTCAACCATCGTTTCTCGCAAATCAGTTGAGGGGTACAACATTTCCCAACAAGAAATTTGTCTTCATGCTGAGTCAGACCACTCCAGCCGTTTTTCTGCTGAATTCGAGGCTCTCATTGCTTCAGAGTTTCGGATTTTGGGGTACGTTCTATGGTTTTGCGAAGGGGTGTAGATTCAAACAATTGCTGCATACTTGGGCATGAACGTTGAGTGTAAAGGGGAATCACCGATTTGAAGTAAAATGGCGAATGAATAGTTATCTGTCTGCGATTCTATCTCATACCTTAGTCTTCTCTATTATGTCGCCGGCGCCTGACGTCTCAATTACGAAGTCCATCCAATCTTGCTGGTCTCGGTTATCCAGTACTCCTGTGAGGTTCAGCAGATTCGGTAATGATGTCAGTTTCTCTATACCATCTCCTTGATTGTGAAGGGAAAAAAGCGACGGTGAGAACACGTTGACCTGAAAAAGTATGCCAGGTTACGGCGCTGTTTGTCGACGGGGGGCATTTTGTACTACCATTGCTTCCCTAGTTCCGGTTTACAAATCTCACTCTGGTAAAACTTGTGAACTCTTGTGAAGCTGAAGTAAGATCGTCTAGCCACTATCCTAAAACGTGTCAACTCGAGAAACGGCTACCTAGATGGGTCGACACATCTATGGAAAGCAAAATGCCCCTCCCGCCGACAAACTGTGCCCCAGGTTACTTCTGCTCGTACGTTCACTTCACCAATCGTTTTAACAGTGAGGTGAACATACAGGGGAAGAGATTGCAAAGACGACGCGACGAAGATAAGGCGAAGGCGTGACCAAGAAGTGGATTGCAGGGCGACAAAAAGATATTAGAGGTACAGCAAAACTGGGTAGGTCATCGGCGAGACGCGAGCAGTGTAGGGAAAGTGGAAGCTGTAGGGCAACGCAGGGGTGAGAGTAAGAAATGCAAAATGGAAGCTTTCATGAACACTAAAAGGCAAGTGGCAAAGCAATATAATTC